CGGAGATTGATTATTGTTCCACGTTCCTACGATGTCTCGCGGGCGGGAATATTCATGTTCGCGGTTCCGCGGTGCTAAGGATATCGTTCCGTGCGGGGCGGGCTCGATACCCTGGGGCGGCCCGCCCCCTAGGACGGCCGACGAAAATCAGTTTTGCATGAAGGGTGCCAATCAGAATCATACAAGGCGGGGGTGGTTCGGGAAAGAAAAAAGGAAACTCCGGATTCAAGCTCCTCTCGACGAGCTGTAACGTAGCACTAAAGTAGTATGGATATTTCTTCCAATGCCAAATATAAGCCGCCGGTATTGCACTATTACGATTACGTCGGAGCATCACCCATATTCATGTTAACGACTACTAGAAGTACTTCTAATTATACAAATTTAATTGTTCTTATTGTTCTCGAGTACTGAATGAATCATGGAATCGCTTCGTCGGATGGCGGAACTAGCTTGTCTTTAATTTTCAGCGTCTGACGACTTCTCGCGGTTGGGCATACTTCTTTTCGCGGTTCCACGGTGCTAAAGGTATCGTCCCGTGCGGGGTGGGCGCGATACCGGGGATCGGGAGGGCGTGCAGAACGGTTGCCATTGATAAGATCTTCTTGAGCGAGCCAGCGCTTAGAATTTCATTGCCTAGAATGCCAGGACTTGTGCACATTCAAGAAAATGCGCGCGTCGCTCAGGCGAGAGCCATATTTTGAAACCGAGCCGCTCTGAATCCGTGCAACTAGCGCAAATTGTTATAGCGGGTGCGCGCGGCGCTAAGGCGAAAACCATATGTTGAAACCGATCCACCCTCGATCCGTGAAGTTCGTGCACATTTTCAAAAACGAATGCGTGCGGCGCTAAGGCGAGAGCGAACTTTCTTGTACAACGGCTGCTTTCAACCCGTGAGACGCACACTTTTTTTTGAAGAAAGAGTGTGTGGGAGCGCTGGAGCGAGAGCTGGATGTTGAAATAGAGTCGCCCGCAATCCGCGAAACGCGTGCACATCTTTACAAACCAATGTGCGCGGCGCTATGGCGAGAGCTAGATGTTGTAACCCAACCGCCCTCAATCCGCGAAGGTCGCACACATTTGTCAAGCGGATGCGCGCGGCGCTGAGGCGAGAGCCGTTCTTTTGAATCCGAGCCGCCCTCAATCCGCGAAACTTGTACAATTGTTGTTCGCGAGTGTGCGCGACGCCATGGCGAGAGCGAGATTTTGAATCCGAGCCGCCCTCAATCCGTGAAATGCGTCAACGTTTTCGAAACGAATGTGCGCGGCACTGAGGCGAGAGTTAAATTTTGAAATCTAACCGCCTTCACCCCGCGAAGCTCGTGCACACTTATGAAAGCGATTGCGCCCGGCGCTGACGCGAGAATTAGATTTTGAGATCAGGCCGCCTTCATTCCGTGAATTTCGTGCACATTTTTAGACATGAGTGTGCGCGGCACTAACGCGAGAGCTATATTTTGAAACCGAGCCGCCCTCAATCCGCGAAGCTCGCACAAATGTTTCAAGCGAATGCGCACGGCGCTAAGGCGAGAGCTAGATTGACAAAAACGGCCACCTTCAATCCGTGAAACCCGTGCACAGTTTAAAATGCGAATGCGCGCGGCGCTGGGGCGAGAGCTAGATTTTGAAACCGGGCCGCCTTCAACCCGTGGAGCTCGTGCAATTTTTCTCAGTGAATGTGTGCGGCGCCAAGGCGAAAACTAGATGTTGGAAACGAGCCTGGGGTGGGCGGATGGTTGTTTTGTCTTTGCTGTTTTCATTGTGCTAAAAATATCATTCCGCGGAAATCACCCGCGGGAGTTTGTTTTATGCGGTTCTAAGGCAATGGGTCTGGGTTCTTAAACACTTCATAGGGCTAGATATCTAGACACGGTGGAGTGAGAAGAAAGACAAGGAGGAGGGAGAGGGGCGGGGAGGGGGAAGAGAAGGATGGAGTCGTTCGTTGTTTTTTTGGTGTTAGGCGTCATGGGCTTGAGGGGCGGGGAAGTGGGGCCTGGCTTTGTTCGGAAACTGGCGCGCCAGGGAACAATCGAGGCAGGGGATCGGGGGTGTTGCAGAAGTGGCTGTGCCCAGACCTCCGGCGTACAAAGGGCATCATACTCGACCTGGGCGTTCTTCAGGAGGAGAAGGAGGAGGAGGAGGGGGAGGAGGAGGGGGAGGAGGGAGGGGGAGAGGAGGAGGAGGAGGAGGGGAGGAGGAGGAGGAGGGAGGAGGAGAGGAGGAGGAGGAGGAGGAGGAGGAGGAGGAGGAGGAGGAGGAGAGAGGAGGAGAAGGAGGAGGAGGAGGAGGAGGGGGAGGAGGAGGAGGAATTGAGGAGGAGGAGGAGGGGGAGCAGGGGGAGGAGGAGGATGAGGGGAGGGGGAGGAGGAGGGCTTCTGTCCCCTGCAATCGATACGCCGCGTCGCGAAACCCAAGCGCGAAAGTCGGGATCGAGGGCTCCAGAGTTCGGTTGATTGTGAAGGCCCGTGCGTAGGTCTGGCTGGGTGGGTGCCTCCAGAGGCGTCCCGTGCGTCCCGCTGTCGTCTCGGCCCAGTGCTCTCCAGACAGCTCTCAGCATCGCTGGCGCTGATGGGCAAATTGTCCACCACCACTACCATATGTAGGACGGGGGAGAGGGGAGGATGAGGAGGTCCTCCTCCTCCTCCTCCTCCTCCTCCTCCTCCTCCTCCTCCTCCTCCTCCTCCTCTCCTCCTCTCTCTCTCTCTCTCTCTCTCTCTCTCTTTTTGTTTCTCTCTCTCTCTCTCTCTTTCCTACATCTGGTAGTGGTGGTGGAAAATGGGCCCATCAGGCTCAGCTGCTCACCCCCTGGTCACTTGGTCTGCGACGTGGCCACAACGTACCGCACGGGCTTCCGCGCGGCTGGCCCAGCGCTCCGCTCGGACGGTGCCCGAGAGTGGGTCCCCCCAGCTATTACCCTCGTGCCCCGGCGGCGGCAGGCGTCAGTCGAGCTCCTGCCGGCGTCCTGGTCATACAGTCGAGGCGATGAAATAAAGGGTTCCTTTGTCGGGGCGGCAAAGAGGGGGGGGGATGACTAGGGGGGGATATCATGGCGGGGGCCATGATATTTCCCCAGATTTCGTGGCGCCTCTTCTTATTTCACGACGTCCTTGGCCCCCCCGCTGGGCCGCGCACATGCCGCTGGTCATGATTTGCACCCCCCCCTCTTGGACACCCCCCTCTTGGCCGCTCCCGACTTTGGGCTCACGAGGGGCTCCGGTGTCTGGCCCGTTCCTCAGATCTGTACGTCGTGGAAGCTGCCGTTGGCCGAGGCTCGCCGTGGCCAGAAACGTCTGCTCGTCCCTGATTTAGCAATTCCCTTCTGGCAGCGCGATGACCCTACAGTCGGGGCGCTGAAGAAGGAACCCTTTTGGTTGGGGAGGGGCTCCGTGTTCCTTAATTGTTTCGCAGGTTTCCTTAGGTTGTCCTTATAGGTATTCGATGGGGAATCGAAGTTTAACTTATGGGCAAAAGGGGCCTCGTTCCTCATTCAGGGTTCCTTAGGTCAACGCCCCGACTGTATCCAATCCCCTTCGGGTCTCGAGCCCCGCGCGAGCTGGCCCTCCGAGGACAGCGGACACAGTCTCGGGGTGAAGCTGCAGGCCATGACCAGCGTCGCCCGCTCGGCCTTCGCCATGCGGAGCATGCACGAGCACTGCGCCGCCACGGGCTCGCAGGAGACCCCGCCCCGCTCTCCCCGCCACCGCCGGGCCCCTTCCAGCGCCCGCCCGAGGCACCGGGGGCGGTCAAGAGGGGGGTGATGGTTAGGGCCTGGCATCGGTCGGACGTGTGCGTTTTTTCCTCGGCGAGGACCATCAAGGAGCATCCTTGACCATTTGCCGAAAAAACCGCGCACGAAACCGAAAAAAACACAGGGAATGGACGTCCGAGCGATGGCGAGAGGGGGGGGGGGATACCATGGCGTGGGCCATGATATGTTTCCTTCGATGTCATGGCGCCACTTCTGATTGCATCACGTCCCTGGCCCCCCCTGGGGGCCGCGCACAGGCCGCCGGCCATGATTTGGGCCCCCCCCCCCCCCCCCCCCCTCTTGGAAGCCTCCCTCTCGGCCGCCCCCGAATGCAGGGTCCGAGTCGGCCCGATCGATCCCGAGGGCTCTGACTCGATGTCGACAGTCAGGAGGGGAGAAAACACACAGACACAATTCATGGTCGATTCCCCAGGAACTATGGGAAAATCTGGGAAGTGGGGGGGAAGGCAAAAACCCAGAAAATGTAGGAAAATATGGGGAACAATTTTATGTGTGTATTTATTTGTGTGTTTGTGGGCCCCTTCAGACAGTTCCGACGATCCCCGGAGGAGGAGACAAGACGGCAGCTGGCCTTCGAGGGAGGTGGGGGCAGCTCGTGAAGCTGGTGCACGTGTGGACCCTGGGAGGGGTCTGGGGACCAGTCTCGGCGTAAGTCGGGCACGTCCCTCTACAGGAGGAAGATTCAAAAAAGCACTTCCGCACATGGTCTGGGGACGATCGTTTGCATTACTTTTACCATGGGTCTTCTATATATATAATCTGATCGTTGTCTTTTTTGATGTTTTATTCGTATTATTTATGACTTACGAATTACTTACGTATTGATGTGTTCTTTCACATGCTTAGTTGTGTTTAGTATGTATTTGCTACCATTTGATGTATAACACTTTAATTACTAGTTTGGAGTCTTGGTTTACTACTTCTTGTTTTTCATCCAAAATCCCCTTGTAAGAGGGCACGCCCGACTTAAGGTCTTGGCTTGCGGTTGTTTCGGCTAGCCCTGCTCCGAGAGGTCCGATGCGGCCCGGGGCATGCTTATACGCTGCAGCTTCGGGGTGCCTCGTCCCCATAGATCCAGCTTGTTGAGAAATCACGATGGATTTGTGTCGTATTGTTCGGCCTCGATGGGGCCTTCGTCGAGCCCCGGGACCGTCCAAAAACGGCTCAGGATGAAAAGCCGGTCTTGGGGAATGGGTCAAGACTTCCTGGGAACGCACATTGAAAAAAAAACGACGTCGGATCTGTCCCCACAACCAGTGCCTCTTCTTCTGCCCGACGCGGGGCTCGCGCCGGACTCGACGCGGGCCTGGCGTGGATTCGACCTGGATTCGACACGGACCCGACACGGATCCGACGAGTCCGACCTGGATTCGACACCGCTTCGACGCGGATGGGTCCCAAAAGGGGGCAGACAAGGCCCCCCGAGGATGCATCACGAGCATGCCTGGCGCTGTTCTGCACCCCCAGGTGCTCTGACTTCGACCCCGTGCCAGGTTCCGCCCGACCCGCCGCACCTTCCGATCACCGGACCGCTTTCCCGACCCGACGCTGACAGGTCCTGCCTCAAGACCCTTTCCCGGCGGCGCGCCTCGGGAGGAAGGCAGAAAGGGCCGGCGCTTTCCCAGACGATGGCGGACCCAGACATCCAGCGTATTGAAAAATCGCGACGGAGGTTTTTCTCAAATTTCGACCCCCAGGAGCCCTCGCTGGGCCTTGGGACCGTCAAAAACGACTCAGGATGAAAAACCGGTCCTGGGGAATGGGTCAAGACTTCCGGGGACCGCGTAAATGAAAAAATCACGACATCGGATCTTTGGGGAGGCTGCTCACAAGCCTTCCCGCCTTCTGAGGCTTCACCGAAGCCACTCAGACGGCCTCTCGGTCGGGGCGGGGGCTTCGGAGAAGCCACCGATGCCTTTCCTGAGAAGGCCAGCCCGCCCCCCAGAACCCCAGCGTGGTGGTTTCTTCCGCAACCTGGATCCTGGAGGTCTCGACCCAGTTCCCGAGACTGGTCCTTCATGCCGAATTGTTTTTTGACACGGTCCCAGGGCCCGGTAGGTGCCCCCAGTAGCCCAAAATGGCAAGAATGTTTAGACGTTTCGCGTAACCCAGCCAGGGGAGTTCGCCTTAATCGAGCATTTTGTTTAATGCATGTGCACATTCGCTTTCTTTGCGAATTATTACTGCAGGTGCGTTGCCTGTCGTAGCTAGTTAGCCTCGCCTGCTGGCCCAGACGACGCCTACCGCTCCCTGTCCGCCGCCTCGGAGCCGCCGACCAAAAAAGTAACCCAGCCAGCCCATCCAGAGACCATGCCCAGGCGAGTTTCCTCGATCAGTGATGCCGAGGAGCTCAAGAAGTGCAATACAGGACCGTGGAAGCCGTCATACCCCAAGAGGGGGAGGATGGAAGAGGAACCAGAGGAGGAGGAGGAGGAGGAGGAGGAGGAGGAGGAGGAGGAGGAGGAGGACCAGTGTAAACCATAAAGTCATCAACGATGTTGGAATAAACCCTCCCTCCAAGTTCCCTGTTCATAGGCCCCTAGAACGGTTCATGTCCATTGAGGGAACTGCTTCGTTAGAAGACAGCCTTTGAAGACCCTGTAGCATGCACAAACGTTGTTCTCGGGATTACAACGGCCTGACTGTTACGTCTTGACGATCCGAACTCATGCCAGAACGCAATTCTTGGCACTTCAACACCACGAATTGACGTAATTGATACTCTTGCACAGCTTAGAAACGAATGTGCGCGGAGCTTTGGCGAGAGCCACATTTTGAAAGCAGCCGCCCTCAGGCCGTGAAGCCCTTACAAATGTTTATAACGATTGCGTGCGGCGCTAAGGCGGGAACCACATTTTGAAAAGCAGCCGCCCTCAAGCCGTGAAGCTCTTGCACATGTATTAAACGAATGCGCTCGGCGCTAAGGCGAGAGCCACATTTTGAAAACGACCCGCCTTCCATCTGTGAAGCTGTTGCCAACTTTGAAGCTTTAGAGCCATACATGGTGAGGAAGTCTCAGGTGAAACGCCCAGCCCGCCCTAAAAACAGGCCTCGGGGTGTGACAGGGAGAAAATCTCGTAGCCCCCCGCAGTTGTGGATAAGAGTGAGGGGGCGGCGAGGACGTCGTCAGTCTGCGAGGCTCCTTGAAGAATCCCGCCGCAGGCGATTATTTTTTCAGATTATGTATTGGGCCCGCCGCAAGCGCCGGTTTTTCGTTAAAGCAATGTGGATGGATCGCGGGGTGGGTCCGCGGGTGGGTCGCGGGTCAGGTTCGCGGGTGGTCGCGGGATGGGTCGCGGGCTGGGTCGCGGGGTGGGTCGCGGGGTGGTTCGCGGGGTAGGTCGCGGGGTGGATCGCGGGTGGGTCGCGGAGTTGGTCGCAGGGGGGATCGCGGGGTGGGTCGCGGGGTGGTTCGCGGGGTAGGTCGCGGGTGGGTCGCGGGTGGGTCGCGGGGTGGGTCGCGGGGTGGGTCGCGGGGTGGGTCGCGGGTGGGTCGATGGGTGGGTCGCGGGGGGGACGACGACAACAAACAACAACAACGCAACAAGCATAATCCCCACCACGGATCCCAACTGGAGCCACGCACCCAGGGACAATCAATGACCGTTCGGCCCCCTCTTTCTGATTTATATTTTTATTAGGAAGAGGAATGGAACCAGAGGAGGAGGAGGAGAAGGAGGAGGAGGAGGAGGACGAGGAGGGACAGGAGAAGGGAAGAGGGAGGAACAGGAATAGGCAGATGAGGAAGAGGAGGAGCAAGAGGAGGAGGAGGAGGAGGAGGAGGAGGAAGGAGGAGGAGGAGAAGCAGGGCGAGCAGAAAGTCCAGAGACCTCTTGGATACCTCTCCGAGTCTCTTCGGATGTCTCTGGAGAGCTTCTTAGAGTCCTCTTGGCACATCTTTCGAGCCTCTTGGCGGTCCAGGGGCCCCCTTGGAGCCTTTTGGGTGCCTCGAGGGAACCGTTTGGGGCCTCTTGGGGGTTTATTGGAAGCCTCCTTGGGGGCCTCTTGGGGCGTGCTGGGCTTTTTGGGGGATCCTCTTGGGGCACTCTTGGGAGCCTTGTGGCCATCTTGGGGCCATCTTGGAGGAGTTCGATCAAAGAAGGGGGGAGCCTTAATCAGCATCGTCCCAGAAGTCGCCTGTTGGGCCCCTCTCGGCCCCCTTAGAGCGCGCTTGGGCTCTTAGTCATTCTGAGCCATCTTGGAGATCATCTTGTGCTCTCCGAGTCCCTCTCGGAGTTATCTTGGGGCAAGAAACGTGCTCAAACGACCCGCAGGGCCCCCATCCAGGTCTAGCGAAGGGGGTAGGGGGAGGGGTCGCAGCTACCCCAAGTCGCAAGCCGCATTGCCCACTCCTACCCGCCCCCCAACTACATGAGTAGCACCCGAGTCTCTTCACAGGCAGGGGCCAGCGTCGACAACCATCCGGAATCAATGCAGACGCCAGCCATGTGCGCGACGTCCGCGAGGTGCGTGGCACGTGCCAGGCGCGCGACGCGCATCAGGTGCGCAACGTGAGGCGATGTGTCGACCGCCCCACAATCCCTATCAAAAACCAGTGCGACATGCCGGCGGGCTTGCGAGCATTCTGTGTGTGTCTTGGGGGGGGGCGTGCGCCCGCACTTACTTAGCACTTGTTTTTTGGATGGATTCTCGGCCTGTGCACAGCAGGCGGCATGCCGCCTGGCCCGCTGTCCCTGGCAAAGAGGACTTTGCAGGTTTTGTTGCAAGGGTTGACGGGCCTGCGCACAGCAGACAACAGGCGGGCTCCCCCCCCGGCGTCCCTAGCAAAAGCCAGTGCCACGTGAGCGCGGGGCGTCCGTGCACGATCCAGAACGTGGTGCAGAGTGCACTTCGGATTGCTTGTTGCAAGGGCTGGTTGGGGGGGGGATGCTGGCATTGCACACAGCAGGCAGTATGCGCGCACCCTGCCGCCCCTGCCACAGACCGATTCAGAATGATCGCGGGGCGTCCGCGCATGATTCAGACTCTGGTGGCAATTGAAGTCTGCAGTGTTTTTGGCCAGATGTAGGGTGTGTTGGACTTGCGCACACAGGCAAGAGTCTGGCACCTCCGCCGTCCCTGTCAAAAACGAAAGCAAAGTAATTGCGGGGCGTCCACGCATGATCCCGATGTCGGTGAGAAGTGCACTTTGTGTTGTTTTTCCTATCAGGAATGGCAGGAGGGTGCTGTCATGGTCCCAGGTTTGTCGACCAGCGTGTGGGCGAGGAAGTGTAGTTATGTGAGTAAGGAGCAGTGATTAACCCATCCCCCAAAGGGGAAGAGGAAAGATGGAAGAGGCAAAGCGCTGGACCACCTCCGCCCAGACTGCTGGTCAGATTTCCCGCCATGATGTTTTGTTCACAGCTCGGGGAGGTCTGGGTGGGGGCGGGCCGCCAATTTTCGGGATCCCCCAAAGATGGGGATGCCCTGGTGTGTGTGTGTGTGTGTTTGTGTTTGTGTTTGTGTTTGTGTTTGTGTGTATGTTTGTGGTTGTGTTTGTGGTTATGTTTGTGTTTGTGTTTGTGTTTGTGATTGTGTTTGTGTTTGTGTTTGTGTTTGTGTGTGTGTTTGTGTTTGTGTTAGTGTTAGTGTTTGTGCTTGTGCTTGTGTTTGTGTGTGTGTGAGTTCGATTGGTTTTTGCACCGAACCGTCCAAAACAGATGTCCCCCAGCCGCTGGCAGCTCCCGATGGTTGCCGATAAGTGGGTCACGTGGGGGGCATCTGTTTGCGGCAGTTCGGTGGACCCACGAGTCGAACTCATGCCCCCTTCTCAGGGTCACCCCCCCTTTCTTAACGGGCGACGAACGGTACAACAGAAACGTTTTCGCTGTCGGGAGCGCCTGTCCCATGGCGGCGGGAAAGTTTCTACCTTTACGGTGGCACGTGAAAGTGTAAACTCTCCAGCCGCCCTGGGGCAGCACCCCCGGGTGACCGAAACGTTTATGTTCTACCGTTCTTCGCCCGCTAGCTTTTGGGTGGATCCCGAGACTTCCAGGAGGGAAAAAACCACACAGACACAATCAATCGTCGACTCCCCGGAAAATATGGGAAGATATGGGAAGTGGGGGGGAAAACAAGAACCCAGAAAATATGGGAGCATATGGGGAATTCGTTTCTTTGTGTGTATTTATTTGTGTGTCCCAGGGCCCTTTCATTGCCCTCCGTGCCGAAGTCACAGCTTGGGCTCCGCCCGCAGGCGCAGCCGCCTCGGCTCTGCCCGCGGGCGCGCGCCGTGCCGGGCCGGGGCACCCCGCGGCGCGGGGCCGCATGGCGGGCCTGCGGCAGCCGCGGCCGGCGGCGCGCGGGAAGTACCCCCTCAACGACGACGTGCGCGGCCTGACGTACCGAGGCCTGAGCGTCGAGGACTCCCCCACACCCTCCTCCTCCTCCTCCTCCTCCTCCTCCTCCTCCTCCTCCTCCTCCTCCTCCTCCTCCTCCTCCCTCCTCCTCCTCCTCCTCCTACTCCTCCTCCTCCTCTCTCCTCCTCGTCCTCCTCCTCCTCCTCCTCCTCCTCTCTCCTCCTACTCCTCCTCCTTCCTCCTCCTCCTCCTCCTCCTCCTCCTCCTCCTCCTCCTCCTCCTCCTCCTCCTCCTCCTCCCCCATGGGACGCGGAGCTGACGTGCGCGCAGGACGGTCGGAGCCGGGGCGGTGACGCTGCAGAGCGGCCCTCCCGCCGTGAGATCAGGACGGCGGGTTTGGGGGCCGTTCGCGGCCTCCAGGAGCCCTCGCCGGCAAGAGAAAACGACTCAGGATGAGAATAGGGGAACGAAAAGTGCCTCGGACCGGCGCTGGACCCCCCTCCCTGGCGCGCGGAGCGCGCCAGGGGCGGCGCCTGAGGCGCCGCCAGGGACGCGCCGCCCCTGGCGCGCCAGGGGCGCCGCCAGGGGCCGGCGCCGCCCCTGGCGCGCTCCGCGCGCCAGGGAGGGGGGTCCAGCGCCGATCCGAGAAATCCGCGCGGACCTCAGAGTTTTTATGTTTATGTCACTTTGTGTTCCCCTAGAGAAAGGCAGTCCTGGGGAAGTGGTCCAGAATTCTGGGGAACCAGGTTTTGCACACCCGCTGCCGAAGACAACGAGGGAGGCGGACCTCTAGGGGGAGTGGTCCTGATCTCCAGGGACCACGTCATGAAGAGACACGACGTCGGAGGTTGGAGTCGGCCGGCCCAGAGACCATACGTGTACAGGTCGTACAGGATGTCGAAGGCAGGCCGCTGGGACCGTGTTGGAAGGTGCGGGGAAGAGCTGGAACGTCTGGCACGTCGAGCTCTGGCAGGATACGGGGGCGGCGGATCTTGTCCTTTTCGGCCCATCCCGACACCGTGCCCAGGTCGTTGATCAGAGGCCTCTTGCAGGCTTGTTTGGAAGCCTCCCGGGTGCGTCGCTGGGTGCCTGTTGGAGGCTCCAGTTGGGCCCCCGCTGGCTCCCAATGGGGCCCCAAGGGGTCCCTTTAGGGCCCTTTTACTCCACAACTCATGTACTCCAGATTTCGTAATAAAAGGAAGGGGATCACAACCCTCCCAGACGAGAAGTTTTAGACCCCCCAGACTATCCATCAAAGGGCGGCCCTTTGCCTAGACCCCCCCGAACCCTCCAAGACAGCTCAAATTAGACCCCCCCCGAATGTGACCCCCCCCCCCCACTTTGTTATGGAATCTGGAGTAGGCAAATTCCCATTACCACCCGCCCGACTGTCAGGAAGGAGGTGCAACAGCGGGATCGCAGTCGAACGCACGCGGGGTTGCCGCACCTCGAGATATGCGTGGCGCGGGACAGTGTGTTACACCTTGCGGTCGCCGCTGACATGGATCTCCGGAGATCACTGTTGGAGGAGATCTCGATCGATACTGCCGTTCTGAAGACTAGGGGGGCAACTCTGAATACGTCGGGTTTCAATGTTTGAGTGGTGTCTCACGCGGAACGGCTGTTTTTTTTCTCAGAGCGGCTTCAGAAATCATTGAAACCTCTTGAGATGTTGAAGGTTGCACGTTGTACTGTTGCAGACCACTGTGTTTTCGAACCGTGACGTCGCGATCTGCGTGAGGGGTGCGCCCGATTCTCGGAGTGTTGAATATGCTCGGGCCGAAATGGCCACACAAAGGGGGACGGCTTCAACTTAATAGTTTGGAGCTCGACTCTCTTATAGAGGTGCGCCTGAGAAAGTGTATGAACACATCTGTGTATATGCATGTACATGTGGGTATAGATCTGTGTACATCGCATCTGCAAGTGTATACACATAGATACACGTGTGTACGCGTGTGTCCCTCTTCTCCCGATCTCGCTCAATCTCGTTCTCTCTGTCTCCCTCCTCCCTCTCTCTTTTTTTCTCAGCTGGCTCATCCCCCAAGCAGCGTCTTCTTCCTGAGTCGTGTCTTGACTGTCCCGAGGCCTGGCCAGGACCCCATGGCCAGAAGACGGCGACGAAAAACGTCGGGCGTTCCTCTCTCTCTTTTCCTGCGCGCGGGCGTCCGGGAAGGACGCCTTCGCGAAAATCTACGACACCAACGCGTGGGGCAAGGGCTCGGGCGCGGGCAGTGTGCCCGCGCACTGCCTGAAGTGGACCAGCGCCGGGGGGGGGGCGGGCGGGCGGCCGAGGGGAGGGCGTGGAGGGTCGGCGCAGGCCTCGGGGAGGCGGAGGGGGAGGAGGAAGGGAGGAGGAGGAGGAGGAGGAGGAGGGAAAGGAGGAGGAGGAGGAGGACGAGGAGGAGGAGGAAGGAGGAGGAGGAGGAGGAGGACGAGGATCTCTGGGGATCCAGGCGGCCTTCGACGATTCCAAAACGGCATTTGGTTTGCAGATACAGTCAGGCCGTTGAATTAAGGACCGCTTTTGGTTCGGAAGGTGCTCGCTGTTCCTGAGGTCCTTACGTGGCTGTTCCTTGAGCCTTCCTCGTGCGCCCGGGCGCTGCTGGCGCCAAAAACGGGTTTCGTTCTTCATCTCTCGCTCTTTGTTGCAGCAGCTTGATAGTACTTGTGCACTTTGAGCATGGGAGGGCGCTGATTGGATACTTGCGAACACATTTGGAGAGCGCCAAATCGGCCTTCGAAATGGAACTGGCTGGGCTGAATGAAGGGGGCCACATCGACAGTGCTGAGAGCTTGTGGAGGCACGGGACCACAGCAACTTGAGGAAAGGAGCTGACTTAGAAAAACAACCCATCTTCCTTAGGTTCGCGGGGATTTTTTGGATCGTCTCTGAGGGCCCGTGCGGCGCCTCAGGCGCCGCCCCTGGCTTGCTTCGCACGCCAGTGAGGGGGAGTCCGGGGCCGATCCAAGAAATCCGCGCGGACCCCAGCAACAAGTATGTGTATGCATTTGTTTGCTTCTCTGGCCCTGAGCAGGATCAAGGCGGAACAGATTTGTTCGCCTCCGCGGGCCGTCATCGAGCTCTTGGAGACATCAAGAACTGGCCCCGGGTGGCACACTTCTAGGCTTCTAAGTGGGGTCATATTCTAGGTTTCCACGTGGGGCCAGCGTAGATGGAGTCAGAAGATCGCGCCGCATCGCCGATGCATAGTCGATGCGGCGCGAAGTAAAGCCAGATATTACCACGACGACGTCGCCGATGCATCGTCGACGTCGTCGGGGCATCGACAATATATCGTGAATGCGTCAGCGATGCGGCGCAATGACCCTCCGACACTATGACTTGGGAGGCCTCTACAGTCGGGCCCGGGAGACGGGTGTGAGCGCTTGTCGAAGATGGGGGGGTGAGGACTATTGGGGGGGGTCCTTGGCGGGCGCCACGAGATCGCCCAGATCTTGTGGCCCCGGCCAAGGCCCCCTCGGCCCCTCCTCCTCCTCCTCCTCCTTCTCCCTTTCTCTTTCCATGCGTCCCCAGACCCCCCACCTCGGACCACGATGCGCTGCCCCCCTCCCCCCCCCTCGGCGCACCCGAGGATCGAGTTCGTCCGCCGCTTCATCCGCGAGAGGGGCGTCAAGTCCGTCGTGGACCTCGGGTGCGGCGACTGGCAGTTCTCGCCCTACATCTACCACGACCTCGACGTGGAGTACACGGGCTACGACGTCGTGCCGCGGGTCATCGAGGCCAACAGGGCCGCCTGGGGAGACCAAGGGTGCCCCTGCCGCCGGCCACGTAAGAGGTTTTTTTTATGTCATTATGTATGTTATGTCTTTAGGTGCTCTTAGTATGCTTATATGTGTTGTGAAATCTAAACAAACCAAACATCATGGGGCGCGCACGCGCTCTGGCCAGGACTGCGAGGCGGGCACAGTCGCTGCGACGAGGACCCCCCCCCCAAAGCGCCAAGAGAGAGAGAGAGAGAGGCTCCGGCCCTCTCCCGTCCTCCGTCCCTACTCCCCAGGCCCCACCGAGAGGCGACCACAACAACATGGCGGGAGGTTCCCTTTGTTCTCTCCTGCCTCGAGGGGGGCCCTTTCTGCTGCGCCCAGGACGCAGGCCCCCTTTCGAGAAGCGAAGCAAAACTTGACGGCAGGATGAGAAGAAACCGCAAAAACGTCTGGGGGAGTGGGTCGAGACCTCCAGGGGTCCACGCCGTGAGCAAATCACGACGCCAGGGGCCTGGGGAGTTCGCTCCTCCCCCTCATCCGCCCCTCCACCGCGTCCGATCCGATCCCTGTCCCTCCCCCTTCCTCCCCCGATCCTTGTCGTTTCCTTGTTGTCTTTTCTGCCAGCTGTCACTGTCATGGAGTTGGTATAAAAAGCAGACATGCACTCGAGCATCGCACACGCGCATGCCGACTTTCAGCAGCGAACCTCCCGCGATCCCATCCTTCGTGGACCGCGCCCTCTCCGATCCTCCCTTCTTCTTGGAGGCACCTGCCAGGCGCAGCCGCCGGCCGGCCGACCGGCCGCGAGCCCACTCCTCCCCCCCTCTGCACGAACGAGATGGGCACGGAAAGAATGGGTACAATGCCCAACAGAGGGCGTCCAAACTCCCTCCGTACCCATTTCGGGCGTCCAAACTCCCTCCGCCTGCCATCCAGCCAGGGTGAGGTGGGCGCGAGGCGGGCGGGGAGGAGAGCGAGGAGGCCGAGGAGCAGCAGCAGGCAGAGGCAGTCCGCCGGCCGGCGCAGCGCGGGCCAGCAGGAAGAGCCGCAGGGTGCCTCGTCGGAGCTGCAATGGATTGTCGAGCGATGCCGTCCTGGTTCCTCGACGCAGCTGCCCTCCCCCTCTGGAGGTACAGGTTCGAGCACCTGGAGTTCTCCACGCGCGTGGCGGAGATCGCCCCCGCCGACCTGTACATCCTGAAGGAGCGGGGGGGCGAGCCCGCGCTCGCGCGGCAGAGGCAACTCGGCCTCGTTGGAGGGCGGGCCCTGCCTGGATGTTATTTTCCTTCTTCTCGTGTTCGCCCTCGTCTCGGCAGTCTTCCACGTCTGAGCGCTCCTCCGCCCCCCCGTCCTCCCCACGGCCGCCCTAGTCCTCTTGCCCTCTTTTGCATGCCGGCTAATTACCCATTCGGTTGCCCCGAATCGCCACACGCTGGAGCGGACTGCCTCTGCCTCGCCGCCGACGGAAAAAAGTTCGTCCTCGTCCGCCGTCGTCCCCCTCCTGCCCCCCCCGGCCCCGACTTTTCGACATCACGGTGTGACGCCGACAGCACGACACAAAACACAGGCATGGACGTTCACGGAACCTCGCCAGCAACACCTGCGGCCAATACAGCGACGCATGTTCTCATAGTGGCTCTTTCTTTGGAGACGTAAAGGGGCGCGCGCCGAAATCCATTCCAGACGAAATTGAGGTTTCTCTTAGAGTTTCAGTGTGCAGGCGCGCCCTGCCGCGCGGTGGTTCCCAGGTGCGCCTTAGCGCGCGCTCACGCATAATGCGGGGCATTCATATTGCACGTTGCGCATGCTATCGCGTGCAAATCACGCATGGCTTGAGCTACTTCGCAGACGCTTTCTGGCGAGGCCCTTGGAGGGCCCTCTCAGGGCCCGCCGGGGCCGCCGAGTGCCGCGAGCTTCCGGCAGCCATTGTCGACAGTTGGCAAAAGCAACGTCGCCGAAATGGTCGCCGAAAGAGCCGTCGAAAGGGCCGCCGAGATTGCCGCCGAAGGGGCCGCCGAAAGAGCCGTCGGAAGGGCCGCCGGAGTTGCCGCCGAAATTGCCGCCGAAATTGCCGCTGAAATCGCCGCCGAAATTGCCGCCGAAATTGCCGCCGAAATTGCCGCCGGAATTCCAGATGGTTCCGCCGAAAAGAGGCCGAATTTGACCATGGCTGTGACTCTATGCCTGTGTTTGTGGCGTCATCGTGCTTCCTGGAATGGCGATTTCGCTTGCGACGGGGCAGTGAAAATTTCGGCGGCTGAATTTCGGCGGCGATTTCGGCGGCTAAATTCCGGCGGCTATTTTGGCGGAGTTCGCAATTATTTCGGCGGCAATTTCGGCGGTGAGTTCGGCGGCAAGTTCGGCTGCAAGTTCGGCGGCAATTTCGGCGGCAATTTCGGCTGCGATTTCAGCGGCAATTTCGGCGGCAATTTCGGCGGCGATTTCGGCGACGATTTCGGCGGCCCTTTTGGCGGCCCTCCTGGCGGCCCTTTCAAGGACCATTTCGGCGGTTTTGCTTTCCGACAGCTGTCGGCGAATGCTGCTGGGAGCTCGCATCACTCAGCTGCGGCAAAGAGTCGATGTGCGACGACGCAGACTGACCTGACCTCAGCCCGACGATGATTGTAAGATTTATTATCTTGTGGTTTTGGCGGCGATGATTGCGATGGCCGCGGTAATGTTTGGTTCAAAATGGATGCTCGTCAGGGGGCATTGCAGGCTGGCCTACGCGCCCAGCACTGCATGCTTTGAAACAAGAAAAAATTGCCGCGCAACTCCTTCGGAATTCGGCGGCTATTTTGGGGGCCATGGTGGCTCCAAAGGGTTGTCCTCGGTGAGTGTTCCGCACGATTCTCGGAACATCGAGGCGACGCGCTTCCCACCAAAGGACCCCTCGCAGCAGCCAGAGCGACACCGAAGCATTTGACAAGTAGACCCCAACGCAACCAGCAGCAGCGACGGCGCAGGCAGCAGCGTCACCTCAGCAAGACGCGACACACCAGCGCAGCAATGGCAAAGACAGCAACGATGATTGGGTCGCGACGGAGCCACGGGTCGACTACAGCCAACGAGCCACGTTGCGCGCGGGGCATCCCATACAGCACCACCACGCTGCAACATTGCACACGATTCGCAGACAGAGCTTTTGGCACATGACGTCGAGGGCTGCAAACCATGATGCCACCAGATGGACGTGGCGTGCATTCCACTGGCAACTGGGACAAACCCCACGCCATCGAGAACAGCGACGACAACAAGGTGGCCAGCACAAACGTTGGGACACCGACAGCATCACGTTCCTTCAACAACGCAAGCCCGACCTGCACCCAACGCCCACACCAACAAATACAAAATGCCAACCGAACGACCTCACCTAGGTCCGCTTGGCTCAAGCGATCCCAGCTGGGTCGACACCTCGAGCACCAGTACGTCGACACATCATGACGTCGACATCCACAACCGAACGTTCCTCCTCCTCCTCTCCCTCCTCCTTCCCCCTCCGTTGGAAATTATTGCGCGTCTCGCCGCTCTCAGCTAAGCCCGGACATCTGTCCGTTGTGGCGTTTCGCTGGTTCGCTCGCTCTCGCCCCTCGCCCTTCTCGTCGTTCTCGTCCAACGCCCTTCTCGTCTTTCTCGTTCCTCGCCCTTCTCGTCCTGCGTCCTTCTCGTCCCTCGTCCTGCTCGCCCCTCGTCCCTGCCCCCCCCCCGGTGTGGCGGGCGCTCGCCGTCGGGGGCGGAGGAGCCCCCCCCGCAGCGCAGAGGAGGCAGAGCCCTGCGGGGTGTGCGAGCCGCGGCCCTGCGGCGCCAGCCCACGCCTCCCCGGCCGAACAAGAAAACAACGCCATACAGTCGGGGCGCTGAAGAAGGAACCCTTTTTGTTTGGGAGGGGCTCAGTGTTTCTTAGTTGTTTTGCAGTTTGCCTTGGGCTTTCCTTCAGTTTCCGATGGGGAATCGAAGTTTAATTTTGGAGCAAAGCGGCCTCGTTCCTTATTTAGGGTTCCTTGGGTCAACGCCCCGACTGTACTCTGAAGACAGGCGAAGGCTGGCAAACCTGTGGTTGCTAAAACGAAGTTCCGGGATTTGCTCTTCCTTCTGGGAGGCAGCCCTAGTATTTCACCGCTTCGCTCATGCCGCCGGCCCTGGAGCCCTCTTGGGAGCCTCTTGGGGGCCTCTTGGGGGCCTCTTGGGGACCTCTTGGGAGTCTCTTGGGGCTCCTTGGCGGCGTCTTGGAGGCCCGCAGGGCCTCTTGGGGGGCTCTTGGGGGCCTCTTGGGCGGGAGGGGGGATAGTCGATTGCGGCTCCCCCCTCGGAGGCCACGATCCTCGTGAGGGGTGTCGAAAAATGGCCCTCCCCTGGAGCACTCTGGTGGCTTCTCCTGGGACCTTGCCGGGGTACTTTTCGTCAAGGGGCCCCCAGGGGCCGCTCCGCGCGCGCGCGAACTAGAAATATTGTTAACCAGCTACCGGAGATCTTGGCACGCCTCTGGCCCGTTGGGCCGGCGAATTTAGCGCGCTGAGTTGTATTCAGGGAGTTGTTTTTGTGTGTTTCATCTTCCGGGAATATTGTTTTAGCAGCCACGCGCTTCCGACATACGGTGGAGGCCCATGCCAAGAAACACCCTGCTTGCCTTCAGGGTCCCCTGGGTTTCTTGGGTTTCGAGGGTTATACCACGGAAAGCGCGACGTTCCCTCACCAGAAATCGATGGACGTGCTGGGGTCTCAGGGTTGGGTTTATTGTGACATGTTTCTTGTGGACTGGGTTTCGCTGTAAACATGAACTTTTGACGCTCCGCGCGGATTTCTCGGATTCGCGTTTTCTCTTCTCCTGCTCAGCCCGAACCTCCTCGGGCCCGCGAGGGCCGAAGAAGAACGAAACACAATAAACATATTTGTTTGGCGCTCCGCGCGGATTTCTCGGATTCGCGCTTCGTCTTCTTCTGCTCGGCTTGACCTCCTCGGGCCCGCGAGGACCGAATAAGAAGAAGAAAGCACCATAACCATAAGCATAACCTTCTGGCGCTCAGCGCGGCCTTCTCGGATTCGCGCGTTGTCTTCTTCTGCTCGGCCTGAGCCTCATCGGGCCCGCGATGAGCGATGGCCTGTTTCCCACCACCACTAACAGAAGTTGGAAGCGGGAAAGAGGTGGAGGACGAGGAGGAGGAGGAGGACGAAGAGGAGGAGGAGGAGGAGCAGGAGGAGGAGGACGACGAGGTGGAGGAGGAGGAGGAGGAGGAGCAGGAGGACCCCCTCCCCCTCCAACTTATGGTGGTGGTGGTGGTGGTGGTAGTGGTGGTGGTGGTGGTGGTGGTGGTGGTGGTGGTGGTGGTGGTGGTGGTGGTGGTGGTGGTGGTGGTGATGGTGGTGGTGGTGGTGGAAAGCAGGCCCATCAAAACACCATAAACATCAACTGCTGGCGCTCCGCGCGGAGTCCTCGGATCCGCGCTGGGCACCCCCTGTGGGCTCGCTCCGCGCTCGGCCCCCCCCCCCTGGCGCGCTCCGCGCTGGGGGATCCGCCCCCGGCGCCCCTTGCACGATGCGCGCGCCAGGGAGGGGGCGGGCCCCAGCGCAGATCCAAGAGAAGACAGAGCGCGAGTGCGAGAAGTCCGCGCGGAGCGCCAAAAGCTTATGGTTATGGTGCTGTTTTCTTCTTCTTCTTCTTCTTTTTCTTCTTCTTCGTATTCTTCTTCTTCTTCTCCTTCGGTCCTCGCGGGCCCGAGGAGGGTCAGGCCGAGAAGAGGTAGAAGAGGCGCGGATCCGAGAAATCCGCGCGGAGCGCCAAAGGTTTATGTGGGTGGCGTTTCCTGTTATTCCAGGGTGGGTGTGTACCGTATGGTCGTTGGCGCACCTTGGGCTTGCTCTTGTCCTCCCTCCCTCCTCGCCCTTTATCCCTCCTTCCCTCCCCCTCGCGCTGCACCCCCCTCCTCCTCCTCCTCCTCCTCCTCCTCCTCCTCCTCCTCCTCCTCCTCCTCCTCCTCCTCCTCCTCCTCCCCGTAGCCATTTTGGCTCAAGACGGAGCTTACCTCCCGTCCCGACTCCAGAGGCTCGAGGCCGAGGTGGAAGGGCAGCCCCTTCCTGAGGCCTGGCTGCCTCGGCCAGCTTTCAGGTTCCTTGGTGAACCGCTCTTCTTCGCTTTCCGTGAGCTCCTGTTGGAGCACCTGGCCCGATCCCACCCTGGGCGCAGTTGGGTGATGGGCTGGGTCTAT